TCATCGAAATACCATCATGGAAACACCCATGCAGTCCTGACGACACTACAATTTTTGTGGAGGTGGCCGTCGTGAAAGTTCGCCATGAAAATAAATCATGATAGTTAACCCTCATGGAAATTGCATTTTCCTGGCTTCAATATCGTGAGGGCTAACGTGTGAAGGACGATCATCATGTATCTTTTTCATGAGGGTAAAACCATATTTCATGACGGTTTTTCCATTCTCATGAAATCTCAGCTTCTGGTAGTGCTTGTGCCACATTTTATATTGTGCTTAGTAAGCAAGCTACTCTTTGTTGTGTCATGTCATGCAAGTCCTACAAGTGTCTGCTAGCTAGCCCAAACACAGCCCATGGCATGTTGTTTCAAGACATGCCAATCTAAGGGCCAACCCCCTCGTAAAATGTCACTTAACACAATTATTTTGTAACCATAATTTATCCACATAATTTACAAATGCTCCACACCATTGATAGTAGAAATGAACACAAAAACAAAACGCTAAAAGACATTCTTGCTATTGTCTCCATGTCATCCACGCATCATGCCCGCCTTTCCAAGATCAAGGCACGGCACGGCTCTCAAAATTGTACCGTGTCGATAAACCCAACGTCTATCGTGTGATATCATGATGGGGTCATGCCAAAAGGTTTAGCCATAGCTACCCAGAAATGGTGCAGCCCAAGTCCTAGCTCTACTTGCATTTTGCAATAGTTTTAACTAGTAAGATTAATTAGCTAATAACTTGGGTTTATGTTACCCTATGTGCAGGTATTTCATCATTATTGATGACATATGGGATATCTCAGTCTGGAAAAATATTAGATGTGCTTTTCCTAAAAATAATTGTGGATGTAGAATTATTACAACTACTCGTATATCTGATGTTGCACAACAAGTTGGTGGTGCTTACAATATGAAACCCCTTTCTGTTCACAACTCCAGAAAGTTATTTTTTAGAAGAATATTTGGCAGTGAAAACAAATGGAACATGAACAATGAAGACACAAGAAAATTACCCGATGAGGAGCTAGTTGAAGTATCAGATAGAATACTAAAGAAATGTGCTGGTGTGCCCTTAGCAATAATTACAATAGCTAGTTTGCTAGCCAGTAAAGGAAGAAATAAAATAGAGTGGTACGAGGTGTGCAACTCTATTGGTACTGGACTGGTGGATGGCCAAGATGTGGATAACATGAGAAAGATTTTATCATTTAGCTATTATGGTATGCCATCACATTTAAGGACCTGCCTATTGTATTTAAGTGTGTTTCCAGAAGATTACAAAATTAACAAAGATCGTTTGATACGGATGTGGATAGCTGAAGGTTTTATCAAATGTAGAAAAGAAGGGGACAGCCTATTAGAACTTGGAGAGAGTTATTTTAATGAGCTCATCAACAGAAGTGTTATCCAGCCTGTGTGTGAATTATACAATGGCTTGGTGGATCATTGCCGTGTACATGACATGATGCTTGACCTTATTTGCTCAATATCAAGTGAAGAAAATTTTGTTACTATATTAAATGAGGTGCATCACACATCTCCATCAAAAAGTGATCGGAGGTTATCCATTCAAAGTGCAAAGGTAGACCATGCCTCGCTTGGGGCTAGTATGAGCATAGTACAAGTGAGGTCAGTTGTTGTCTTTCCGGTTAATGTCAATGTAATTCCAGCACTTGAGGGCTTCAGATTTTTACGGGTACTCGATTTACAATACTACGAGATTTCTCAAGAATGCAGTCTTAGTTTTCTTGGATATTTACATCTCTTGAGGCACCTGGGACTACGGTTCTTCACAATTAAGCCACTGCCTAAAGAAATAGGAAACTTGCGATTTCTACAAGCATTGGACGTAAAAGGCACTGCAAGAGTTTTAGATGCCTCTGTTTCTTCTATCTTGCCGTTGACTGTTCTTCAGTTGAGACATTTGAGATCCCTACACATTACCGAGGAATATGTCCTAAATGGGATTGGGAGCCTAACATCCCTTGAAGAGTTGACAGTGTATGTTAGCCGTCGCTCCAGTGAAAACATCATGGAAGAGCTAGGCCATCTGACGGAACTGAGAGTTCTATTTATCACTTTCTACAACATCCGCGATGAAAAATGGGAGGACTCCCTGGTTGGGTTTCTATGCAAGCTGAGGAAACTCAGGAGTCTAAATATCTGGTGGAACAACTATGATCTCAACTTGGATGGCTGGGTCACCCCTCGACGTCTCTGTAGATTAGAGACGCGTATGAACCAAGTGTGCTGGGGATTGTCTAAGCTGCCAGCTTGGATGGAGGATTCCTCCCTTCTTGTTGATCTCTCCGTCATATCCATCCGTTTGAAGGATCTACAACGGGAGGATCTAGAAATCCTGGGAAGGTTGCCAGCTCTCCGCATTCTACATCTGGAGATGAACCATCGGGGTCGTCGAATCATTGGGGGATTCGCCTTTGGTGCTGGTTCATTCCCATCTCTGGTACACTATAAGTTGCAGAATATAGGAGCTGTGGTGTTTCAGAACGGCGCTATGCGGAGGCTCCAAATGCTTGAGTTCACGTGCCCTGTGCGGGAGACAAGAGAACTCGCTGGCGGCTTCGACCTGGGCAACCTGCTGTCGCTCCAACATGTCCATGTGTATGTGGAAGCTCAAGGCGCCAGCAAGGAGGAGGTGATGGAAGCGAGGGCTGCACTGGTGCATGCGACTGAAAACCATCCCAATCATCCGACCTTAGAGATGTATGGTGGTTTTGTTGAAGGTGCAGTGCCTACAGTTGTTATCCGTTGGTTGCCCATCTCTCTCACTCATCTCTTCTAACATGAATTTCTTTTGTTTCTTTATCAGAACGAGATCGATCGGATCACGAGGTTCGCACTGCCGATGAGGATGGCAGATGACTCACCTAGATTTGAAGGTGCGCTGCTGGCGGCTCCAGTTGCTCTTTCTCTCCCTTTCCCTCTTTGTCCTAAACCTAACTCTATTTCTTTCTCCATTTCAGCTGACGAATCATGTACTGCCAACGATGAAAGTGAGCTGGGCCCGTTGCTCTATATATCTCCCGTTCTCCCCGTTTCGAAGCGAATAAACTTAATTTCCTCTGTTTCTTTGTCAGTTTCAGATGATGAGAATCTTGCATTGCCCTAGATGAAGGTGTGCCACGCTGCTCCTGATTCCAGTTCAGATGAATCATGAATGACGGACTGGACAAAAAAGTTCTAGCTACCAAACGTCGATTGTCACATTTGATCAAGGATATGTTGCATGTTAGGATACATATATATATTGTCCAATATGCTTTAGATTCGTACTTTATGCGAGCACCTCCCTGCAACCTGCAACTTCTTCGTGATTTTTATATCACCTGGATCACAATGAGACTTGCTGATATTAAGGCTTGCAATTTTACGTAAAGTGGTAATAAAAGGCAGATTACATAATCATCTCCAATGTAATTTAAGACTTTTGGCAATAACAATATGAAAAGTGCCTTTTAAATTTTTTTGCCTGATTGCCTAAATATGTAGCCATATGCTCTGAATACAGCTAAGATGTTACGTGCTTTTACAATCTTGCTACTATATTCAATTGTTATTAGGACATGTCAGAATACCAAAGCAGAGATGCAATCTTGCTCATGTATTAATTCAGGAGACCGAAGGGGGTTGAAGGGGTAACAGACAAGCTTTCTTTATCAACCTTGTCAATCTTGCTCCAATCCCCTTCAATCCAATGGTGGAACCAGGGGGGCACTGCCCCCCCCCCCCCTAACACAGTGAAAAGTGTTTAATACCCTGTACATATTTCAATTGTACAACATAAAAATATCATTTTATCCATTTTTTATGATAATATTGTGATTTTTTGTTATGAATACTAAATATATATGTAAAAGTATTGAAAACTATCGAGGACATACACTTCATATCTATTTATCACATTTACGAGGTGTCATCATATTGTCTGACCCCCTTAATCAAAAGTCTTGGTTCTGCCACTGCTTCAATCCCTTTGATTTTGACAACAACCGAACAAGGTCTCATCGGTCTAGGGAGAAGGCCGGAGCCGAGGTTGCTAGCCTGCTGAGATCTTACTTGCTACCAGATCCTCGCAAGCTAATGTCGTGCTATTTAGAGAGGACGTGGTCCGTGGATGGGCCGTGGAGAGGGAGGAGTGACCGATGCTTGAACTGTCTGGTGTGAGCAGACAGGGGAAGGTTTTAATAAACCTAATGTAACCTCCATTCCCATTTCCAACGTACCATTGCTTTCAACCAGCCTCGATCAAACGAAATAAGTCATTAGAGCAAAGTATAATAGGTGAGCTGAATGTTGAGGTGGAGAAGAGAAGATAAATGGGTTGTAAGTTTATAGCCAACTTATATACAAGAACCAAAAAAAACTTTGTGAGAGGAACAAGTGGGTCATAGGTAAGATAACTACTATATGAGTGGGCTGTAAGTTACAGTCAGCAGTTGGTTGTATTACTAGCGCCTTGCTCTTAGGGCAGTCTCAGTGGAATTTTGTCCTAATTTTCAAGACTTTTATATGTTAGAAATACTGTAGACAAGTTTCAATCATCATGAAACTCATTTTATCCCATAAACTTTTTATCATCTCTATTTATCTATACTATGTCAATTTAGTTTATTTAATGTCCATAAAATCTCCACTAAAACTAGCTTTATGACAATAAGTATAGAAACGATTGTAAGTGGGTTTTATTTTGAGGCGGAGGAGAGAAAAGAGGCAAGAGAAGGGAAGTGAACTATAAATTTTACAGCCAACTGATGCATGAGTTTTAAGAAACCCTGTAAAAGAAGAAAGTAGACTATGTAGTAATGATGAATATATTCTAATAGCCAACTGCTACATGAATGGATTGAGAGATGAACTGTAAATGTTCATACAACTAACAGTGAGCTGTATTATTATCCTTGGTCTAACTACCCACAAGCAGCTGCCATCGTGCCACGCTTTTGGAAAGACAGCACGCAACAACGGAACAGCTTAAGAGCCATGCTGCTGGGAGTAGTGAGTATCATTCATCGACGCCTGTGGCCGCTCAGGTTCTGCTCCCCACATCTCCATGGCCGCGGTATTCTGAAAGCAGGTGTGAATGCCGTGGTGGATGACGTGGAAGAGCGTCGGGTCCTTATCGCTGCGCTGCACCTGCTTCCTCGCCGCACATCGCTGAGAATAACCATGGGTGCAGCGATAGTAGGTCCTGCATTGTTTTGCACCATGCTTAAGAGTTTTTAAGGTGTGAATCTCGTATTGTAATGAAAAAGTATATTTTGCTTCAAATGCAGAGCTAGATTAGCACAAACTTGAATTACCACATTCCATCTGAACATTTGTGCAATACTGATCCAACTATCCTACCACAAACACTACTATAAAAAATCTATACCTATCACTATTTATCGGTTCACCTGTTATGAAAGACCATTACAATCAGCAGTGATATTGCTGATAAATAAATAAATAAATGTGTTTCTAAGGAAATGAACCAACGACCTCAAGCCTCATACATAGAGTTCTTACCATATCAACTACACAACAACATTGGTATATAACTGATACTATCCTATTGTATATTTGACACTACAAATGATCTCAAATGGGAAAAAAAATTAAATGCAATACTGTAGATCTCGTCTGGTACTACAACTTTGATGTTAATTTTGTTTCCATCTGAGATTGTTTAATAAGGCCGAGGAGTTTTGTTGAATATATATGTGGATATATAAACCACTTCAAATGAAAATAGATCTTTTGCTACAAAGTTTTAGATCTCTTTGAAGTCTATAATTTTGATATAAAGTTAATCTTCATCCGACTTCATATGAAAAAATTATGAATTTTATCGTATATATAAGTGATACGTAGCTACAAACCAACCGATAGTGATTGTACCGGCAGTGACGTGTGTTTTTGTAGTAAAAGTTTTTGGAGATAGGCGCTTTTTTTTTCAAAGAGAGACATGTGTTTTTTATTTGCAATGAACTTGCCTTTAATTTCAATAAGAGGCTCTGCATGGGCTATCTAGGCAAACTACCAAATGCCTCAAGCTGATCATTTTGGAATAAGCAAATGATACAGTTTACAAAAAGGGCTGCCACAACGTCGAAATCCGAAAGCAAAAGCAAATGATTTCGAACCACTTTGCAAAATAGAAAAGGTCATCAGCAGACATTTGGAGGGATCTGGAAAGAAAAGAAAAACCAACCATGGGTGCTTGTCTCCAAGAATCTCCTTCTGGCCATACTTCCTCCAGCTGTGGCCATCTCCGGAAGGGGGGTCACAGCCACCCTCCGTTCTTACCCTCACCTGATGCTTCCGCCTCTCCATAGTCTTCCTGCAAAACACAAAATAAATTTTAGCACAAGAAAAACGCGAATAACTCATCAACTCCGCTACAGAACAGACCTGCGCACATTGACATCTTGGAAAATAATCCTGTGACTATGAGACCAGATTCCACACATTAAGGATGCTCACCTCTTCGTGGTCTTTAAAGACCCACTGGCGTAATCACTGAGTGAGCTCGAAGTCGGCACCACCGACGACGACGATGTGAGGCTCTGCTTGTACTGGATGCACTCTGGCTGCTGCGCCGTTGCTCCCGCTGTACTTTGAATGCAGGTGTGAGTGCCATAGTAGATGACATCGAAGAGCGTTGGGTCCTCGTCGCAACGCTGAACCTGCTTCGTTGCGTTGCATCCTTGGGGCCGGTGCACACACCGGTAGTAAGACCTGCAAATTTCGCAGAGTTTCAGAATAGCCAGTGTCTTTGCTCTTGGATTGCATATTTGACACTTCAAAATGATCTAAAATGAAAAAAAAACAAAGTCTGATGTTGTAGATCTCGTATAGTACTTTTGATGTTGATTTTGTCTCAATCCACGATTAATTTACAGGGTCCGAGAACGTGTATTGAATATTTGTACATATAAATCATTTCAAATGAAAAAGTTCTAAACTACATAGTTTTACATCTCTTTGAACTCTACAATTTTGGTATAAAGTTTATCTTTATCCGACTTCATATGATGACGTTATGAATTTTTTCGTGTGTGATACATAGCTACGAACCAGCAGGAATAGCTATAACCGGCAGTGAAAACTGACATATCACTGTCGGTTATACGAACCAGCAGTAATAGCTATAACCACCAGTGAAAACCCACCTATCACTGCCGGTTATACTGTTACTTCTGGTTCTAAAGCAACTGGGTGATGTGTGTTTTTGAAGAAGTGGAAGTTTTTTAAAGACGTACAGGTGCTATTTTACAAAGAGACATGTTTTTTTTATTTGCAATGAACTGCCTTTACTTTGTCTAAGACTCTGGCTCTGCATGGGCTATATTATAGAGGCGAGCTACCAAACGCCTGAGCCAGCCATTTTGGAATAAGCGAAGGCTACAGCTTTCATAAAAGGACTGCCACAACGTCAAAACCCATAGCAGAAGCAAATGATTTCGATCCACTTTGCAAAAAAAAAAAAAAAAGCACGTCAGCAGATACTGGGAGGGATCTGGAATGAAAAGAAAAACCAACTGCTTCTCTCCAAGAATCTCCTTCTGGCCATACTTCCTCCAGCTGTGACCATCGCCGGAGGGGTTATTGTCACCGCCACCCTCCGTGCTTACCCTCACCTGATGCTTCCGCCTCTCCATTGTCTTCCTACAAAACACAAAATAAATTTTAGCACAAGAAAAACGCGAGTAACTCATCAACTCTGCTACAGAACAGACCTGTGCACATTGACATCATTATGGAAAATAATCCTGTGACTATGAGGCCAGATTCCACACATTAAGGGTGCTCACCTTTTCGTGGCCTTTAAAGACCCAACGGGGTAATCACTAAGTGAGCTTGGAGTCGGCATCACCGAGGACGATGATGTGAGGCTCTGCTTGTACTGGATGCACTCTGGCTGCTGCGTCGTTGCTACCACTGTACTTTGAATGCAGGTGTGAGCATCATAGTAGATGACATCGAAGAGCGTTGGGTCCTCGTCGCAACGCTGCACCTGCTTCATTGCCTTGCATCCTTGGGAGCGGTGTGCGCACCGGTAGTAAACCCTGCAAATTTCACACAGTTTCAGATTAGCCATGATGTCTTTGCTTTAGTTGCAAACCTTTCCAAAAAAAAACGAGAAATTCTGATTGTGAATTCAGAGGTTAGAACAGAATTGTATCACCAATCCAATCCATTTCAAAAATTGTTCCAACTTTTCCTATCATCATATCTCACAAGTGGAGGCCAATCATTTAGGAATAGAACAAATGCTCCACTTTTCATTGAGGGCAGCCACAACATTGAATCCCCAAAATGACACGTGCAGATTGGGCTCCAGAAAGTAAGAAATAAAACCAAACCTTGGGTACTTGTATCCAATAACCCCCTTCTGGCCGTACTCAAAATCATGCACTTGCAGGTGCATGATCTACTTTGTAGCACAAGAGACCCAATCTAATGGTTCAAGTGTTCTCTTGCAGCAAATAGGGTGCATCATAATAGCACATAAAACACAGATAGAAAATAGTCCAGCATGGTGAGTTGCAAATAATTCCACTAAAATAACAAATCTCCGTCCAGCTTCCTGGTGAAATTGTTACCTTTCAACCATAAAAATTAGTCTTTTTTCCCTCTCCAAAGAAGATAGAGCTGGTGTAGAACAGAAACCCCCAAATGAGTTCACCAACAACAGGAACAAATTTACAGCCAAAATCATGGATGAACTAACTACTAAGATTAGCCACGGAACGAAACAAGTTATCGTATAACGAAGGGACCGGCTGATTGTAGCAACCAGGAGGACAACTGCGAAAGGGAAAGCAGGAGGAGGAGGAGCAGCTCACCATGAGCCGCACACGGCGGAGCAGCGGGCAAGGTCGAAGTGGTCGTCCAGGCGGGAGAAGACGGACCGGAGGATGTCGTCGTTCAGCGACTGCGCCGTGGACCCGGAGCCGGTAGCCGCGGGTCGTCGATTGGACCTCACTGCCGCAGCGGCCCCACCCGTCAGCTCCATCCCTCTCCTCCGTCCCTCCCCTTCGCTCTGGCCAGGCTTCCGAGCCGGCCGGGTGACCGCGCTCCCCACCGCTCAACTTAGCCCGCGTCCGCGCGACCCACGCGTGACCGAGCAAACCGCGCCGCGCCTATCCGGTCTCTACTCCACCGAGTCCACCCTCGTCCACTCGTCCCACCCAAACCGAGTCACGGCACCCGCCATTGACGGGACGCACGAGCTCCTCTGGACTGTTAGGCGAAAACCATCTGGCCGTTGGTGAGGAGCGGCACATTGGGGGCGGGGCGGGGCTGAAGCCGGGATGCACGTCCCCGCCACGGCCGTAGCTCATTTGCGACCTGAGCATGGACTCGGCGACGTACAACGGGTCGTCGTCGTGCCCCGTGCCGCCGTCCTGCAGGCCGAACTCGCCCTCTAGGTCATCGACGCCGTCCTCCTCCTCGTCGCCCGCCACACGCGAGCAGCCCTCGCGGAGCTCGTACTCGTAGCAGGCGCGGCAGTTGGTGGTGGGCACCGGCATGCCGAGCACGCCCTCCAGCTTCGCCACCAGGGACCGCCGCGTCCATGGACGCACGCACCTTGCCACCCGCACCTCCCGGGGCAGCAGGGACGGCCGCCGCCGCCGCGACCGGGAGGGCATTGGCCGCCGTAGCCTCCACGTGCTCGGTTGGGGAGCTGAGGGCTAGTGAGAAGGGGTCGGGCCCGGATCTCGACGGAGACGATGCAGGAGCGGCGCAGCGCGTCGAGGTCCTCCCGTGGACGGATCAACGGCGGCGGCATAGAGACGGAGAACACAGAGATGGCGGCGGATGAACCCTAAAAGACGAAAATATTCATCTTTTTTTAAAGCAAATATTCATCTAACTACAATACTTAAATCATACCTCCCAACTATACTACTCAAAACATTATTTTTACAATTATAGATTTACCGTTTTACCCATGATGAAAAAAAATAACTACGAAAAAGAAATTACCACTCTTTTATTTGAAGTCCTAATCCTCAGGCGTTGGGAGGCGTTACGGCGTATATGGGCCCACCGACCATAGACACATCTAACGCCTCCCTCATCGACGCCTCTCAACGCCTTCCCTCATATGGGCCCACCAATCATAGACACATCTAACGCTTCCTGACGCCTCCCCAACCATAGTAAAAAAATTCTCGTAGAAAATGCATGCAATATAATTTATTATGAAAATAGATTCAACGATCTATCTAATAATATTAATTTTATACCATAAATATTAATATATTTTTATATATATTTAGTCAAGGTTATTTCTCGGAAAAAAAACGGCAGTTATTTAGGAAGGGAGGGAGTGGTTGTTACTTGTTAGTTAGGTATTTAACTAACAATTACCTAAATTATTAGATGGAAATGTTTACATCTAAGAAGGTAGCTAGGGCCCGTTTGATTCTAGGGATTAATTTTTAGTCCCTGTCACATCGGATGTTTAACACTAATTTAGAGTATTAAACATAAACTAATTACAAAATGGAGACTAATTTACGAGATGAATCTATTAAACTTAATTAGTCCATGATTTGACCATGTGGTGCTATAGTAAACATGTGCTAATGATAGATTAATTAGGCTTAATAGATTCGTGTCGTAAATTTACCTCCATGTGCACAATTAGTTTTATAATTAATTTATGTTTAGTCCTCTTAATTATTATTCGGACGTTGCAGGGACTAAACTTTCGTGACTTTCTCGCAGTTAGGGCCCGTTTAGATGCAAAATTTTTTGGCTTTTGGTTACTGTAGTACTTTCGTTTGTATTTGGTAAAAATTGTCCAATTATGAACTATTTAGGCTTAAAAGATTCGTTTCGCCAATTACGGGCAAACTGTGCAATTAGTTATTCTTTTTACCTACATTTAATGCTCCATACATGTGTCGCAAGATTTGATGTGATGGAAAATCTTGAAAATTTTTGGATTTTGGGTGGGATCCCTAGTAACTGTTAGCTACGTGGATCCACGTGACTTTCTCCTTTACTTTCCTCGTGCTTCCCAAAAGGATAAACTGACGGTGAGTGCGCGACCGAAGACCTTGACCTCGTGCTTCGAGCAGGAGAGCGCGTGGGCCTGGCCATCCTGGACCGGCGCCAGAGGCAGAATCCGATGCCCTCGTTGGGCGTGACAGTCGACATCTTTACAGCCGGATGCGACCAAAGAAAGAAAAAAAAAAAGGAAAGAAAACGATAAAGTGCCCTTCTACTCTGTATCTCGCTCTTGAAAGAAAAGGAAAAGAAAACTTCCCCCTGCATCCCAACTCAGTAGCAAAGGCAGTGAGCTCGAATCGGCGACGAGCGGCGGCTCGATCCGGCAGCCAGCATCCACCGGTGAGTCCCAGCTCGACCACTCTAGCTCGTACGTTCTCAGTAGTTGCTACGGTCGGCCAGCTCGATCAAGAGCTAGATGCCTAGATGTGAGCTGCAGCAAGAAAGCTTGACGTTGGTTCGCTGCAAGCCTGCGAAGACTAGGCAAGCAATAAGCATGAGAAAGAGAGAGAGCGCGCGAGCGAGCGAGCGAGCGAGGAGCCGCAAGAAAGTTTTCCCTTTACCTTGGAGGAGCTCGTTTTGTTTTGCTTGGAAAAATACATGCTTCTTCGCCGCTCCTATATATGCAAATTTTATTGCTGAATTCCTCCACAACAAACGCACAGTGAGTTCAGCAAAACAGAGGTTTGGTATCCCTTTGAGACAAAAAAAACTCCTACTTCTGTACTTCATTTCCAAACGGGCCAGTGCGTGTAGGTGCGATGCGCGTATGAAGAAACACGTACGGCTACCTCACTTGTTCCACTTATCCTGCAGAGACAGACAGATCCATGGAGATCGTGAAGGGGGCACTGCCCACGGTCCTCTCCAAGCTTGGTGAGCTGCTGGTCAATGAGTACAACCTGCAAAAGGGGCTGAAGGGGGAGATCATGTTCCTCGAAGCCGAGCTCAAGAGCATGCAGGGTGCCCTCGAGAAGGTCTCCAGCACACTACCAGACCAGGTTGACAATCAGGACAAGATTTGGACCAGTGAAGTGAGAGAGCTGTCCTACGACATCGAGGACAGCATCGACACGTTCATGGTGCATGACAAGAGCAGCGAGCTGGCCAGGTTGCATGGCTTCAAGAAGTTCATTGAGAGGAGCCTTGATTTATTGACAGGGTTCCGTTTGCGCCACAACTTTGCTACTGAATTCAGAGGTCTGAAAAGGCGGGCCATTGAGGTGGGCGAGAGGCGAGCGAGGCTCAGGATCGACGATGATGTTGCTAAGCGGGTCACGATTGACACTCGTATTTCTGCTCGGTACAAGAAGGTGACAGAGCTTGTTGGCATTGACGAAGAAAGAGATATGGTGATCAAGATTTTGATGGAAGACAACAAAGTGCCAAGGCAACAAGAAAATGTAGTTTCCATTTTTGGATTCGGAGGCCTGGGAAAGACTACTCTTGCTAATGTGGTGTATGAAAAGCTTAGAACACAATTTGATTGCTCAGCTTTTGTTTCGGTGTCTCAGACTCCAGACCTGAACAAAATATTCGAGGATATGTTTCATCAACTTGCCAGGCAAAGTAATGGAAGCATCGATTCCATCAGAGAATTCCTTCTGGAGAAGAGGTATGTACGTGTGAATTATGAACACATTACATAATACTTGCTATTAATTCGTGTCTAAAATTGTTTTTTTTTGTTTTTGGGAGGATTGCATGCATGTGTACTGTAGCACGAAAAAGATTATGGCTTCGGTAAAATACCGCTGAAAAGTTAGTTAATTTTAGTAATGCTCGTTGAAGTTGCGAAAAGTCGACCAGATGGGTGTAAATGGGAGCCGACAAAAATCCTTAACATAGAAGAACTTGGACTATATCCTGATTACAACCCAACATGCCTCTCTTCTAAGTGACAAGGTCACACACGTCAACTAATGATGTATCAAACCTCGCAACAATTAGGAATTTCTCAGAACATTGCGGAAGCAAAGCCACAAAGCATGGATTATTAACTCAAAAAAAAACAAAGCATGGATTAAGTAACTCAATAATTATATAGCCAACAAAAGCTTAAAGCCCTAATTAATTATAGAAGAGACAAATTAAACCAAGGGCTAATTGGTAGAACAATACACGCTGCAACTGAGCTAATGCTAGTCGACACACGCGAAGACTACAAAGTCAGTAACCACAAAAAAAAAACAACTTGGTCAAACTCAATACTTAGAGCTCGTGCTTGCCAAACTTGAATAAACGTAAAATCTGAGCTGCTGCGCCATGTATCCCTAAACAACTACCAAGCAATTCTGAACAACGACAGGAAGGAAAGCTTACACTACGACTAATCTCATGCAGTGAAAATTACTACTCCTTCTATCCAGATACATAGCAAATCTTATGTACCAAAAAAGTCGCTCAAATCTTATGTACCAAAAAAGTCAAAGTGACTTATAATTTAAAACGGAGGGAGTATAAAGCAGGGCAACTATGCTTCTACCAAATTACAAAGAAATTAAAGCTACAGACAACTGATCGATATTGAAAAGCATGCCATGAATGCATACTGTAGCATTAAAGGGAAATCCCCCAAAAACGAATTTACTCTTGGCTGATGTCGCTGCTCAGAATCACGGTTGCTTTCTATAGTCCTGCAAAGAGAAAATGCAATCCAGCCGAGCAAACTGCTACCACTAGTCTGAATAAATTAAAGAACAGAGAGTTGAGCACTTGAGCTGCGCTGGACTGACAAACTGAAAACAAAACAGAGAACTCAGAATGTTCCAGGAAATCGGAAACACTAAAATACGAAGAAGCAAGGAGAACGGAGAGCTCAATCGATCAAAGAAAAATCGAAACATTGAAGCTGAAATGCAGCTAAGTTGTTCCTGCTTCTCAAAAGGAAGCTTCAGAAACGATATAGTACAAAAAATGTAGACCGAGCTGCTCCCAAATTCACAAAAAATAATCAATCCAAAACCTGCTGAGCTAAGATTCAGAACATGACCACGCATCATCATAGGAATGGAAATTCCACTGGATCCATCATTAAAAAAAAAGGAAGCTTTTCTCACGAATTTCAGAAAATTAGAGAACGCTATGGAAATAGGAAATTCGGGAGAAATTCCAAATTACTCGCGCTAAAATCAGGATCGTTAGGAGAACACCCTAAGATGTCTCACATAAGTTTTAGCACCAATTTCCCCCAAAAAACTTCTCTTAAATCGCAGCCGAATCACAAGAACAAAAAAAAAATCCTAAAAATAACTCTAAAAATCACAGAAGACAAATTTGAGATCTTATCGGGAATGAGTTGAGCAGAATTCGATCCTTGGATTAGCTCAAGAAATGAAATTACAAGCCACTGCTAGCATCCTCCAAAATTGGGAGGATAAAATCTCAAATCAAAGAGCCTCACCGCTCTTCCTCTCTCTACACATAGCCTTCTCACAACATCATACAAATGAGAGTGACCCCAACCCCCCCTCCCCCCCAAAGGTTGGCTTCCCCAAACCCGCCACGACCCATATATATAGGCACCAAGACATAGTCCAAAATGCCCTCATATGAAGCACTCGACCCAAATACCCATAGGGATAAACTATCTAGATTTTTGTCGGTGCATCGCACAGATTTGGCTCCTTGATGACTCTGCTTTTGTCTCGATGCAAGTTCGCAATGGTAGCGCATATCCTCTGACTTGCCACTCTCAGTTTTGAGGCCCAAATCGGTCAAACCCATGATTGATGGTTTTGAGGCCAAAACCACCAAATTGTGCCTCGGTTTTAGGACCAAACTGGCAAGCCCTCATACATGCCTCGTTAACTTGTGATTCACTGATCTCGACGCATGTCCAACCTCCATGTCCTCAACCTGGAGGTGCATCAAGTGCCTATGACACCTCATCTTGACTTTGTCCAGCCTTGACCTTGACTGTTGTCAACATCGTCTTTATCACTCATGTGCTCTTCATCCTCGATCTACCCAATGTGAGCCATCCATAGTCCATTCTCATCCTCTTGGTCCTTTGGTCCAAGATTTCTCATCTGTCCTTCACCACTCTCGGTGCATCACGCATAGACTACTCGCTTGACCTTCTCCATTACCAATCAACCACCTCTGCGCACTTAACACCTTCACATTTAAAAGCCAAGGGACATATTGGCCAACACACTCAACACAGTCGTAGTCATTAGTATAATCAAGCACATATGAAATATTAACTCAACCAAAAAAGCCTCAAATCTGTCAACTCTTGTGTCAATCATCATACACATGCATGAGACCAAGACACTTTTCAACTTTGTCTCTCACTCATATTTTCCTCTATGCCTTTATTGGCCACTTGGTCCCATCGAGTGGGTTCTACCATCAACTCTAAGCCCTTTGCCCCTTGTAATACCTCTCCTAGCTACTTTTCTTCTCCATCTAAGTGATGTTCTTCTGCATCCTATGATTCGATGGCCAGTTCTAGGCAAAGTATATCTACATAGTAGTCATGTCCTAGCTCACGAACCATGTGTTGAAGCGAACTCAAATATGGCAGCAGTGGCAAGCTCCAGTCTCGTTGTGGCTATAGATCTGGCATTTCATGGGAGATGTTCTAGCTTGTTGTACTTCTTAGTAAAGATGCAAGGTCATGCTGTGCCGGCCTAGACCACTCTTCTTGTGCCTCATCCATTACCAGAATACGGAGATTTCATGAGGGGAACAGTTTTTCATGAGAGTTAAAAGCACACTCTCATGAAATTAATCTTTTTCATGAACGTGACGTAAATCCCATCACGAAAACTCATTTTCATGAGAGTGATCCACATACCACCATGAAAGCATTTCTGTCAAGAGCTCCAGCTTCTCCTTCTGAGAGCCAAGAAAAGCTACTCTCCTCGGTTAAATCAATGGTTAGCCAATCTTACTTAGCCTGGATCCGTCTTGTAGTAGCTTTTCTTTTTCTTCCTTTCTTTCTTTGTCTCCTGATCTGATCTCCCCCTCCTCTGATCCGTAACTGTACTTTTATCTGCGTTTTGCAGCGTTTATTTAATCTCCAGTAGGGGCTTGCCCCTCCTGGTTCCCTAAAAAAATCAGCTATTTTCCTGAGAGTATTTAATACCACCTCATGAAAATGACTATCCCACCACGAAATTGTCAGTTTTCATGAGTGATAATTTTCATGAGAGTCAACTTATATTGCCACAAAATATGAGTTGTTGTTGTTGTGAAATGATTTGTAAACAATATATATGCTAACATTCATAAAATCTCATGAATTTTTTAATTCAACCTTATGAACCCATAATATGATCTAATACCAATTTACAGAATTTTTTGGACCACTTTTTCACATTGTCATCATTATTTTTCAATAAGTTGCATATAGAAGTTCAAATTATCCTTAACAAACATTTAGATTTTCATTTATTTCTATGATATGTGCTGAAATGGAACATATGTCCTCAATTATATTTTTCATGGAATTTTTTCAATCTTATTTAAGATGTGTGTAGTTTAATTTGGATCGAGATTTTTCTTGTTACCATGACGATTTGGGATTCCTAGGAAAACCAAATTTCATGAGAGTTTGAACATGTTTTTATGGTGGTGTCACCTTCCCATGAATACTATTTTTTGTGACGGTTCAAACTAGGCCTGGACAAAAAACTCGTAACTCGCTAGCTCGCTCGACTCGGTCGTTAGTGGCTTGGCTCGAGCTCGGCTTGTTTGAATTTTGAAACAAGCTGAGCCATCACTTTAGCTCTGTTAATTAACAAGACAGCTCGATCCTGCTCGCGAGCCAAATCGAGCCAAGGTAAATAAGGACAAAAACTTGAATCAGCCCATATATGCCATGGCCCATTGGCCCAATATGATAAAACTCTAGCCCCCAACTCCCACGCTCCCACCCATAGGCCCTAGACTTCCCCCATCCGTCGTTCCGCGCAGGCGTAGCCATAAACACATGCACACTCGGCTGTTCCCCTCCTGAGCCACCGCACGCGGCACACGCGTAAGTCGCCCGGCTCCTGCAATCGCAGCTTTGCTTACTCCCTTGCAAGCCAATGCACAGCAGCAAGCATTAGTTTTTTTTCTTGATTTCCCAAACCAGTATCAAATCATCCGTCTTCTTATTTATTTTGCTTTTCCTAAATCAGTACTCGTCTCTGTCTTTTGTTGGATGAATAACCTCAAGAGGAAGAAAAAAAATTAAGTTAGCTCTGAGCCAAACGAGCCAGCTCGAGCTGCCAAGTGAGCCGAGCTGAACTTCAAACAACATTTTCATGGGGGTGTTTCCTCTCATGAAATATTATTTTCCTATGAGTTTGAGAACCCTCACTAATTAATTTCATGATGGTGACCTCATCGAAATACCATCATGGAAACACCCATGCAGTCCTGGCGACACTACTATTTTTGTGGAGGTGACCGTCGTGAACGTTCGCCACGAAAATAAATCATGATAGTTAACCCTCATGGAAATTGCATTTTCCTGGCTTCAATATCGTGAGGCCTAACGTGTGACGGACGATCATCATGTATCTTTTTTCATGAGGGTAAAACCATATTTCATGACGGTTTTTCCACTCTTATGAAATCTCAGCTTCTGGTAGTGCTTGTGCCACATTTTATATTGTGCTTAGTAAGCAAGCTACTCTTTGTTGTGTCATGTCATGCAAGTCCCACAAGTGTCTGCTAGCTAGCCCAAACACAGCCCATGACATGTTGTTTAAAGACATGCCAATCTAAGGGCCAACCCTCGTAAAATGTCACTTAACACAATGATTTTGTAACCATAATTTATCCACATAATTTACAAATGCTCCACACCGACCATTGATAGTAGAAATGAACACAAAAACAAAAGGCTAAAAGACATTCTTGCTATTGTCTCCATGTCATCCACGCATCATGCCCGCCTTTCCAAGATCAAGGCATGGCACGGCTCTCAAAATTATACCGTGTCAATAAACCCAACGATTATCGTGTGATATCATGATGGGGTCATGCCAAAAGGTTTAGCCATAGCTACCCAGAAATGGTGCAGCCCAAGTCCTAGCTCTACTTGCATTTTGCAATAGTTTTAACTAGTAAGATTAATTAGATAATAACTTGGGTTTATGTTACCCTATGTGCAGGTATTTCATCATTATTGATGACATATGGGATATCTCAGTCTGGAAAAATATTAGATGTGCTTTTCCTAAAAATAATTGTGGATGTAGAATTATTACAACTACTCGTATATCTGATGTTGCACAACAAGTTGGTGGTGCTTACAATATGAAACCCCTTTCTGTTCACAACTCCAGAAAGTTATTTTTTAGAAGAATATTTGGCAGTGAAAACAAATGGAACATGAACAATGAAGACACAAGAAAATTACCCGATGAGGAGCTAGTTGAAGTATCAGATAGAATACTAAAGAAATGTGCTGGTGTGCCCTTAGCAATAATTACAATAGCTAGTTTGCTAGCCAGTAAAGGAAGAAATAAAATAGAGTGGTACGAGGTGTGCAACTCTATTGGTACTGGACTGGTGGATGGCCAAGATGTGGATAACATGAGAAAGATTTTATCATTTAGCTATTATGGTATGCCATCACATTTAAGGACCTGCCTATTGTATTTAAGTGTGTTTCCAGAAGATTACAAAATTAACAAAGATCGTTTGATACGGATGTGGATAGCTGAAGGTTTTATCAAATGTAGAAAACAAGGGGACAGCCTATTGGAACTTGGAGAGAGTTATTTTAATGAGCTCATCAACAGAAGTGTTATCCAGCCTGTGTGTGAAGTATACAATGGCTTGGTGGATCATTGCCGTGTACATGACATGATGCTTGACCTTATTTGCTCAATATCAAGTGAAGAAAATTTTGTTACTATATTAAATGAGGTGCATCACACATCTCCATCAAAAAGTGATCGGAGGTTATCCATTCAAAGTGCAAAGGTAGACCATGCCTCGCTTGGGGCTAGTATGAGCATAGTACAAGTGAGGTCAGTTGTTGTCTTTCCGGTTAATGTCAATGTAATTCCAGCACTTGAGGGCTTCAGATTTTTACGGGTACTCGATTTACAATACTACAAGATTTCTCAAGAATGCAGTCTTAGTTTTCTTGGATATTTACATCTCTTGAGGTACCTGGGACTACGGTTCTTCACAATTAAGCCACTGCCTAAAGAAATAGGAAACTTGCGATTTCTACAAGCATTGGACGTAAAATGCACTGCAACAGATTTAGATGCCGCGAAATCGATTGTTTCTTCTATCTTGCCGTTGACTGTTCTTCAGTTGAGACATTTGAGATCCCTACACATTGCCGAGAGCTATGTCCTAAATGGGATTGGGAGCCTAACATCCCTTGAAGAGTTGACAGTGTATGTTAGCCGTCGCTCCAGTGAAAACATCATGGAAGAGCTAGGCCATCTGACGGAACTGAGAGTTCTATTTATCACTTTCTACAACATCCCCGATGAAAAATGGGAGGACTCCCTGGTTGGGTTTCTATGCAAGCTGAGGAAACTCAGGAGTCTAAATATCTGGTGGTACAACTATGATCTCAACTTGGATGGCTGGGTCACCCCTCGACGTCTCTGTAGATTAGAGACGCATATGAACCAATCGGGCTGGGAATTGTCTAAGCTGCCAGCTTGGATGGAGGATTCCTCCCTTCTTGTTGATCTCTCCGTCATATCCATCCGTTTGAAGGATCTACAACGGGAGGATCTAGATATCCTGGGAAGGTTGCCAGCTCTCCGCATTCTACATCTGGAGATGAACCATCGGGGTCGTCGAATCATTGGGGGATTCGCCTTTGTTGCTGGTTCATTCCCATCTCTGGTACACTATAAGTTGCCGAATATAGGAGCTGTGGTGTTTCAGAACGGCGCTATGCGGAGGCTCCAAATGCTTGAGTTCACGTGCCCTGTGCGGGAGACAAGAGAACTCGCTGGCGGCTTCGACCTGGGGAACCTGCTGTCGCTCCAACATGTCCATGTGAATGTGGAAGCTCACGGCGCCAGCAAGGAGGAGGTGATGGAAGCGAAGGCTGCACTGGTGCATGCGACTGAAAACCATCCCAATCATCCGACCTTAGAGATGTATGGTGGTTTTGTTGAAGGTGCAGTGCCTACAGTTGTTATCCGTTGGTTGCCCATCTCTCTCACTCATCTCTTCTAACATGAATTTCTTTTGTTTCTTTCTCAGAACGAGATCGGATCACGAGGTTCGCACTGCCGATGAGGATGGCAGATGACTCACCTAGATTTGAAGGTGCGCTGCTGGCGGCTTCAGTTGCTCTTTCTCTCCCTTTCCCTCTTTGTCCTAAACCTAACTCTATTTCTTTCTCCATTTCAGCTGACGAATCATGTACTGCCAACGATGAAAGTGAGCTGGGCCCGTTGCTCTATATATCTCCCGTTCTCCCCGTTTCGAAGCGAATAAACTTAATTTCCTCTGTTTCTTTGTTAGTTTCAGATGATGAGAATCTTGCATTGCCCTAGATGAAGGTGTGCCACGCTGCTCCTGATTCCAGTTCAGATGAATCATGAATGACGGACTGGACAAAAAAGTTCTAGCTACCAAACGTCGATTGTCACATTTGATCAAGGATATGTTGCATGTTTGTATATATATATATATATATATATATATATATATATATATATATATATATATATATATATATATATATATATATATATATATATATATATATATATATATATATATATATATATTGTCCAATATGCTTTAGATTCCACTACTACAGGATGGACTTGTTGTCCCGGACGGTAACGGCCTTTAGTCTCGGATACCGCGCCGGGACAACGATCCCGGGACTAAAGGTGGAACCTTCAGTCCCGGGTCATCGAGCCTGGACTAAAGAGGGACCTTTAGTCCCGGTTGGTGTTACTAACCGGGACTAAAGGCCCTCCAGCCGAGCAAACGTTGCCGCACCCTTTAGTCCCGGTTGGTAACCCCAAACGTGACTAAAGGTTCCTTTTTTTTGTTTAATTTGTTTTCATTTCAGTTACACATATTTGTTTAATATATAATATGTTTTTATGTACGTATTCTATGCTGCTAATATAAATACACGTACGCATATAATTACATCTAATTCTCATCTCAAGCATTATTATATTCGAATAAAGTATAAAACTATATATATTATAGATATATATGTATATATACAACACTTTCATAATCTTGTTCTCGAAAATAACGATATCAATAAACATTTAATTTACATCATTAGTTCCTTAGATCAAAGTAGAACTCGCCGTTGGGATTTAGCACTTTTTCTATTGACTCTTGAACTGTTTTCAGATGGTCTTTTTGTATGACCCTTCGTTTCAACCATTCAGTCTTGCATTTGAAATAAAAGGAAAAGTATTAATACATATATATATATTCATTTAAAAATAAATAAAAAATTGATATATACGTACTCTGAGGACATCTTTAGGAGTTTTTCTTATGTGTGCAGTGATAAATTCACAAACGTAGTATCCACATAAGTTATTACCTGGTTGCTGCCGCAAACACCACTGTACGAGAAGAAGATTATTCTCATCATCTCACACGTAAATTGAAGTACGATATAGTAATTAAACACGTGGGGAAGTATATATAGTACAACTTACTGGTATTTCAACTACATTAAGTGGTGCCTTGCAATCCTTGCGGTGTTGCCGAATAAACTCTTTCCAAACCCTGTGCGACCAATAATGTACGATCGTTAATAAATTATGGCAAAGTCTATTCAATAATAGTTGTACGCGAGAGATCGAAATTACCCCTGGATAATGTCTATCATATCTTGGTATAGTGCTCGCTCTTTTCTCAATGAGTCCAAGATTACTAACCGACTTGAGTTTAACTCAATGACAATGAGTATCCAGTGAAACCTGCATTGGTTTATACACACACGTACATGCATATAAGTTGTATTGATATTACATAAAATGTGTAGACTACATTATTATTAACACTTACTCAAAGTTGTACGGGAAAAGTATTGTTGTCTTGTCGTGCTGCTTCACGAAGAACTTCATGATATTCGTCCGTGCTTCAGATACCCAATACTTCATGATAAAATGTGTAGACCTACATTATTATCCACATGGGTGCGTGTCCCTTAGCATCTTTGGGAACAAATTCGCTGCCTTGTCCCTTTCCAAATACTGCTTTCACATCCTTGACCATTGAGAGTACATCTTCCCCAGTTCGGTTATGAGGCTTCTTCCGGTGGTCTGGCTTACCTTTAAAATGCTTACCTTTCTTTCTTACTTGGTGATTCAAAGGAAGGAATCGACGATGGCCAAGGTACACGACCTTTCGACATCTTTTCAAATATATACTGTCATCAAAACAATGTGTGCATGCATTATATCCTTTGTTTGTCTGACCTAAAAGATTACTTAAAGCAGGTCAATCATTGATTGTTACGAACAACATTGCTCGTAGGTCAAAGTGTTCTTGTTTGTACTCATCCTAGACACGTACACCTGATTTGTTCCATAAAACTAGAAGTTCTTCAACTAATGGCTTCAAATAGACATCAATGTCGTTGCCAGGTTGCCTCAGACCTTGGATGAGGATCGGCATCATAATAAACTTCCGCTTCATGCATAACCATGGAGGAAGGTTATAGATACATAGAGTAACTGGCCAAGTGCTATGACTAGTGCTCTGCTCCCCAAGAGGATTCATACCATCTGTACTTAAGGTGAACCTTAAGTTTCTAGCCTCATTTGCAAACTCTGGAAATTCCCTGTCTATTGCTCTCCACTGGGACCCATCAGCTGGGTGTCTCAGCATATTGTCTACCTTACGGTCTTCTTTATGCCACCGCAACAACTTTACATGGTCTTTATTTCTGAACAAATGTTTTAAGCGTGGTATTATAGGAGCATACCACATAACCTTGGCAGGGATTTTCTTTCTAGGACGTTGTTCACCCTCGACGTCACCAGGATCATCGCGCCTGATCTTATACCGCGCTGCTTTACATACCGGGCATTCATCAAAATTCTCGTATTCATTGCCATGGTAGAGGATGTAGTCATTAGGACATGCATGTATCTTCTGGATTTTTAATTCCAAAGGGCAGACAACCTTTTTTGCTTCGTACGTAGTAGTGGACAATTCATTTGGCTTCGGAAGCATCTTCTTTATGAGGTTCAATAAATTCCTAAATGCCTTGTCGGATACACCATTCTTTGCCTTCCACTGTAGCAATTCCAGTGTTGTACCCAGCTTTTTTTACCCCTCTTCGGCCGTCGGGTATAGCAACTTCCTATGATCCCCAAGCATGCGCTCGAACTTAACTTTCTCTTTTTCACTTTCGCATTCTTATTGTGCATCACGAATGGCATCGCCAAGAGCATCATCGAGATCATCTTCTGTCGCTACCTCTTCTTAATCTCCCCCATTATAGTATCATCAAAAGCACCATACTGAGCAATAATGTCATCAATGTCTAAATCTTCTCCTTCACCTTCTTCCATCATGACCCCGCCTTCTCCATGCTTAGTCCAACATATATAGTTTGACATGAAACCTGACTTAAGCAAATGTGAATGAAGACTCATTGAGCTTGAATATTCCTTTAAATTCTTACATATGGCACATGGACAGCACATGTAACCATCCTGCTTATTTGCCTCGGCCACACCTAAGAAATAGTGCACGTCCTCAATAAAGTCTTGGGAGCGGCGATCGGCATTGTACATCCAATGGCGTGACATAATCTGCATTACACGACAAATTATGAAAACCTTGAACATAATTAAGTATTTTATTACACAACATAGATGGCACACACACGGTTGATTAATTAACTAAACCTGGCTACAACGTAAGCAATCGCAACTATCACTAAACAAACTAAAACTACAATGCACTTCAGTAACATAATTATTTCGTGACCGTACGCAACTAAAACAGACAAATCATTCTTCTGTTGAATATCAATAAGCTTCTCCTGCTGGCTCACTGCCTCATCATCAGAAGCCGCTACCTCAAGCGCACCCAAATTCTGCACGTATGTAGCATAATCTTCCTCCCAGTACCAACCATCGCATCCATTGCCCTCCCACTGAAATTAAAGCCAAAAAATATTTAGTCAAAAACATTCAAGAAAAGCAGGTCAATTAGCCATAATAATCAAATGCGTAAGAAACTCACATCCCGATCCGGGCACTTGTAGAAAACACGACCTTTGTTGGGTCCTTGTCTCTTGACTCGGTACTCCATCACAATCTTCTGCTTACACTTGCCGCAGATAATGAGAGGGAGTTCGCCTCTCAAGCCAAGAACCGAACGAGAGGCCGAGGATCCGGTACCAGTTGTCATCTACTTTCTATACTTATTTTTGCAAACTAGTGTAAATTTCACATTTTCTAAAATAATATATTTAAACAAAACTAAAATTATTTATTTATCTAACTAAACCATGAAATATGTATTATGTATAATAGTAAAATACCAAACTAAGTGATTTTACTATTGTAAATCATCATGTGATTTTAAGCTAAAAATGACATAGAAATCACATAGCTCAAAAACATGTTTCAATAAATAACCATCAGTACTAGTTGACCTTGCTTACGTGATCATCTCGTGAGCATTTTCTCCACCGGACGACATCAGTGCTTAGCCAAGGAAGAGCTCCGATTCTACGAGGAAGGGAACACGGTCTTCCACGACCGTTGCCGCTCTCCCTCGTAGAATTAAAGCTCCTCCTTGACGTCCGTTACCGCTCGGCAGAGAACATGCTCGCCGAGATGAACACGGTCCGCAAGTTCAACTAGTACGAATTTTCTATAATTTTCTAACTATTTTCTAAGTTTTTAATTTCTTGGAAAATTTAATTCTAAAAAATAAAAGGCATGATTTCTAAGTATTTCATTTCATGGAAAAATAATTCTATGTGACCCGCTTCGATATCGGCGAGCTCATGCATGCTTAGGTTGTCGAGGATAGTAACATTTGTAGATGACATTTATAGGTCCGAAGTTATCAAATATCCATCAAATTATAGCTCAAAAACATGTTTCAATAAATAAATCCATCCGTATTTAGTCAACCTTGCTTACGTGATCATCTCGGCGAGCATTTCTCTCACCGGACGGCATCGTGAGATTTGGCCAAGGAAGAGCTCGATTCTACGAGAAAGGGAACACGGTCTTCCACGCATCGTTGCCGCTTTCCCTCGAGAATCAAAGCTCCTCCTTGACGTCCATTACCGCTCGGCAGAGAACATGCTCGCCGAGCTGAACACGGTCCGCAAGTTCAACTAGTACGGATTTTCTACAATTTTCTAACTATTTTCTAAGTTTTTCATTTCATGGAAAAATTAATTCTAAGATCACGTAAGCCGCCGGGGACGAGGATGGCGCGTGCTCCAGCGAGGACGAGTGAGGCATGATTTTGATGAACTAATTTAACTTTTGTTTATCCAAACATATATGCAAATCATCATGTGATTTTGAGC